CCTATGTGAAATAGAAGATCCAGACCAACTGTTCTCTGCCGTAGTCTCTGAGGTCAAATGCCCCTAAAATTCTGAACTTAAAATTTTTCCGCTCATCTGTAAAGAGTGCGGTTTGGGAATAAACTGTCAGACAGCTGTAATGCCTAGCTGACCTGTAAAGCTGTAACGCATTTGTTTTTGCATACTGACCAAAGCATACTGTACCAAAGTACCTTCTGACATCAACAATACAACACACCAGCAGGAGATAGTATGGAGTTAGTTTCCAAATGTCCGCTTCCTTATCGAAGAAGCAACCAATCTTTCGAAGATCATAATTACTATTTCTTCACAACATGTCATCAGAACAAGTTAGTATATACTGTTGGGAACTTCCAAAGCAGTGTGCCTCAGATTTTTAAATCGCGACTCTAAATGAAATCTTTCGCTGATACAGACGGCAGACGGACGGATAAATGCCCTTCCAGTTTTTCAATTTTCTTTTTACTTTGTGTCTATTACATTAACTAAAGGAATGCATATTAATGACATTTTAATCAGAAAAAGTGTAAAGCGCAACATTTAGCAAAAATGTTTTCTATGACATCTTGCAGCCGTCATTTGGGTTGCGATCCAGGGTTTGGGAAAAATTGCTCTCATAATTTGAGAAGTGATGTTAAGATGGATCTAGTACTTCCTAAAATATGCCTGTGTTGTTAATTAAATATGAACGTAGTCCATTTGATTTGGGTAACGTGGCAACTTTCAGGAAGTAACCTCAATCAAGACAACGGTAAATAATTTGGCAAGAGGGCAAATTACATCAATATTTCTAAAATCTTCATGTTAGGTCCAAAACAAATGATTTAATTCAGTGCCATGGACCGTTTTTAAAGATGAATGATTTTTAAAATATTACGGGTATTTTAGGCGTATTTGCTGTACGCGAAATTTGCTGAATCACGGCAAGTCAGAGGTAAGCGAATTTCATACTCTTGACGTGAAAGAGAGTTCTCGTTCTACTTTGTCTGTTCCTGGAAATGCAATCGGGCGCTCAATAAGAAAGTGTAACTTTTCAGATTGTAAGCAAGCCGAGGTGGATGTCATGATAGTTTTGGATAGTTCACAAAGTATGGACGAGGTTTTTCAAGAGCAGAAAAAACTGCTGCTGGAGCTGGCCAAGACAATGCCCATTTCTGCAGAAGCAACGAGGGTGTGTTTGATCCAGTACAGCAAGACGCCTATCCTCGTTTACCCGTTCACCGCCACTCAAAACAATTCGGCGTTCTACAAAGTGGTCAGCGGTCTCTCTGACCTTGGCGGCGAAACGAATACCGCTGAAGCGATCAAATTTGGCCTACGGGAGCTAAAGAACAGCGGTCGCAGTAGAGTCGAGGAAGTGTTCGTACTCATCAGTGACGGTAACTCGTTCAACAGCTGGAAGACCGTGCTTTCAACGGCAAAGGAACTGCATGAGTCTGGTGCAAAGATTCTAATCCTAGGTCTAGGCAGGCATATTTATATGCCAGAATTGAAGGTATACACTGGCAAAACAGGGCATCTCTTCTCGAAGGAAAGCGCTGCCAAGTTCGAGGGTTTGATGAGGGACTTGGTGGGAGAAATTTGCGGCGGCACGTCAGGGACGATACCAATCGTGATAGAACCTCCTACGAAGCCGGCCCCTGCAGTTCGTCTCACCACCGTCGCTGGAAAAGCAACCCAACCGCCTCCCAAGGTTACTCCTGGAACCATGAGACCTCAGCATACGACAGCTAAGGTGTCAACAACAAGGAAAAGCGAAGTGCTTACGCCTAGAAAGCCAGAAGCTGCCCGTACGACTCCGCATCTC